TACTCCAATGAGGTGAAGAATGGAAGAGTGGTCCGCCACACAGATGGAACCTACACCACCTCGGTTCACATCAAACCTTATTTGTTCGACCCTGGTGATTTGGTCGAGTTCGGGCCCTACGAAATGGAGCTACCAGTGCCTGAACGGCGAGTTGGAGGAAAAGCCACATTAGCACAACTGCTCCAGGAGCCTGACAACGAGATCGATAAGTTCGCCAAGGACCTCCTGGACCACCAGAAGTTCACTTTGGATGATGTGGTTGGGTTGTGGAATGTTTTGCGGACGAAGGCAAGGCCAACAACAAGGACTACCCAAGGTGAAGGTCTTCAATGGTTGGTGGGCCAGTGCACCTACGGAAGCCTATGTGGAGTTGTGCGGGAGGACAGACCTCTACCCGGTTGCCACTGTGTATTTGGTGCAGGCCTTCAAGAAACTGACGGGTCATGATGATTTTACCTCACTATTGATCACGGAAGATGTGGGGATGAGCTGCCACCGTGATGTGCACAATCATGGCCAACGCAACAATGTACTTCTTCCTGTGCTACAATGTGACAGCGGAGGCGGGGTTTGGGTTGAATCACAGCCTCGGGACTATGACTACGCCGATGAATGGAAGGAACTCCCTAGAGGTGGATGGCGCCGGGGGCGGATTCACGAACTACAGAGAGGTGTTCCTATCGAGATCAACCCGAAGATGTACCACTCCACTGAGCCATGGACAGGGAAGCGGCTTGTTGTGACAACCTACACCCCAAGAACTACAAAAATGACCAAATCGACCTACGATATCCTCTGCAACTACGGGTTCAAACCTCCTCCACTACTACCACAGGTTCCCGACGAACTCCAACGAGCCGTCTTGAAGATGATGACTATGGGGAACCAGAGGGAGCCCGATGCCGTGATGTTCCTTATCAATGAGGTTGAGGAGGAGAACCGCGAAAGGGCAAGAGATGTGAGTCGAGAACTATGTCAACTACAAGACGTCGTTCTTACCAAGTTGCGGGACAGGCAGGAATGGCTGAAGGAATTCCTGGCTGAAGAGGAGATCTTGGCCGAAGAACTACAGGTTGTCGGGGAAACGATCAACGAGGAGATCGAGGGCATCAATGGTGCAGTCCGGGATTTACTTCAGGATGTAGAGGAGAAGATCAAGCTCACCGAGGAGAAGTGCCACTCCCTCTACCTCAAGGTCGCCAATGTTACGGACGATACCAACATTGGTGATATTGAAGAGCACCTCGCGAACTTGAAGAAGGATCTCGACGTAACATTGGATGTTCCGTTGGACCAAGTGAAAGCCAACCTGGACAAATGGGTTGAGCCAATGAGCAAGGAGTTGTCCAACCTCGAGGAGAAAACGAACGCTATAGAGCGGAGGACAATCCAGGAGGCTCGCCAGATGGAGCGGGATGGTCTTCTGGTCCTTATACCTGGCAAAGTGGTGTTCGCAGTGAAGCCACCACCACCTCTCCCGGAAGCAGAGCAACGAAGATCAAAAACACCGCGGTGGCAACGCAAGGCGCGGATTGTTATCTGTGGCAATATGGCCAGCCAGAAGCATGATCCAAATGATCTCTTTGCCGCCGGTGCGAGCGTTGAAGGACTACGTCTGGGCTTGGCTTTGGCATCGGCAAGGCTATGGATAGCGGCGGCTACGGACGTGAGCGCGGCATTTCTACAGGCTCTGTGGCCGGAGGGAAGACCAACCTATGGGGTGCTTCCACCCAAGGTTTTAGTCCAGTCAGGGCTAGTATCGGCGAACGTTGTGTTCATCGTGAAGAGGGCCTTGTATGGGCTCAGAGAGCCCGGCCTTGTGGTCGGCTCATCGCACAAGCGTCCTGAAGAAGATCAAGGTGAAGTGTGGAGATGGTTTCATGTGGCTGAAGCAGCTGGCTACGGATGGCGAGCTGTGGATGGTGTTGTGGACTCCCGACGGTGGCATCCCACAGCTTGTGGGCTTATTAGTCACCTACGTTGATGACCTCTTGTATCTGGCCAACAAGGATACAATTCTCCGACTACACGAGGTGATTGCTACTACATGGCCCTGCTCGCCTTTGGAGTTCTCAACGGAGGGTCTGCGCTACCTTGGTATGGAATTGTTCCGGGAGGAGGCGGCGATCACCTTAGGCCAAGAAGCCTACGTCTCCAACCTTGTTCGGCTGCACAATTTGGACTCTGAGGTGTCAGCTGGTTTGCCATGTCCCCGTGAATGGATTCAAGACGATGATGACAGTGGGGAGGACGTGGCCGAAAACTACAGCGATGATGAGCTAAGGAAAGCTCAGAAAATTACAGGCGAATGCCTGTGGTTGGCTTATCGAACAAGGCCTGACATCCTGTACATCACGAACTACATGGCTTCGATGACCTCAAAAAGGCCTGTGAAGGTTCACCAAGTTGGTCTAAGGGTGATCTCCTACTTGAATGCCACGAAGACCTTGAAGCTGAAGGCGGAGGCCGAAGCAGAGATCACACAAGCCGCAACAGAGATCACACAAGCCACAGCAGAGATCACACAAGCCACAGC